ATGATGAAAAGCTACTGGCGGTGGCGAGCAATCCATAAATTTGCCTCTGACCATGCTTCCCGAGCACCAGCGAATCCTTGCAGATTCATTTCGAGACCTGGGAGGGTGGGGAATGATGCTGGGATGCATCAAAGCGCTGGGCCAACACTTTGCCCTACAGCCGTGTGCCCTTCACCTCATTGGGAAAACGCACAACACCCGTGATCACTGGCGAGAAAAAGGCCAAAATACATGGTTTCAAAATCGTGTACCTTGCAACAAGACTGAACATCGTGTAAAAATCGTTGTAAATCATTTATTTATCGTATAAAAATGGGGAAGAACCGTGCATTAAGGATTGAGTGAGTGCGCACGATTCTTACATGTTGTCACACAATTTTACACTGTTTTTTTGCAGCGTTGAAAACCGTGTATTTTGGCCGATTTAACTTGTGGATGTTGGAAAATGAGATCATTGCAGTCTGGAGAATCCGGCGCGCCGATGGTTTACACGCAAGTTGCCAGTCTAATCGTCGCTGAGCCGGGTGCAGGGCTCGAAGGCCAGCGTTCCACCCGATCGGCTGTGCGCCCGTGGATCTTGACGGCGCAACGGGTCACGCTGTCCGGCCGAAATGCACACAAGCGCTCAATTAAAGCAAATCCACGGTAACCGCAGCTGGAGTGTAGACATAGCTATAGATTCTGGAGTCATCGTCATGGGCGTTGAAACGGGCAAGGCGTCACAAACCTGCAGGATTGAAGCATGAGAATGACATCAAGTCAGCGGACCGTGGCAGCGTACCGTTTGGTTCCAACCGGCAATGCCCATCATGTCGGATGACAGAATTTGCAAGAAAATTAGCTAATTGCAGTTGTCGTTGCGGTCGCTTTCTTCAGTGTGAAACTGTCAGCTTGGCAATTCACAAATGGCAGTCTGGTCATCTGCACGTTGTACACTCGCACCAGAAACTGCTGTGCGTTTTTGTGTTGTTCTCAGTTGTAGCTTCATCGCATTTGCATCCTACGGAAGAGCCGCGACAGTCTTGTTGAACAGGAGCGTGGCGACAGCACAACATGGTTTGAACTATGTGACAATAAATGGGAAATGACATTTGGGTTTTGCTTAATTGCATGGGAGACCCCCCAAATTGGCTCGACTCTTGGCCAGCTGCAGAGCTACGGGATTCGGAAGATGCTGCTTCAAAGTGGCTTTTAACCATTTCAATCTAAACCTATCAACTGAACTTCCTCTTTTTCATTCCAACAAATTTATGAACGAACAGAGCCGAAGAATAACTGTCAACCATAAATGGCACCACAACAGATAACCGATGCTTTCCTGTATGTGATGAATGACATCGACAGAAATAGTCTCAGAATGTCATTTCCGAAACGCACTGGTCATTGACCTGCAAATTCTTACACTGTCCTGCTAAGCTCCCGTTGAAGCAGTCCATTACTCCATGCATCAAAAACAGCTTTAGACAATGCATGTTAGAAGCATTGGATAGATGGATTCGATAATGTGCCAATCAGATGATAGAATTTGGACACCCCACCTCTTCCTGAGAATCTTCAGGTCGCCATAAATCTTCCAATTTCGGTTTCAAGCTTCTGTCTTTGACCCATTTTGGATGCAGCTGCTTCCCCACTACCCTGTCGCAACGGTCCACCGTACCGTTTGTTAGCCAGCATAGCAACCAGACGCGCTCTTTCAGTTATCACGCACGTGCCCATCCGAACAATGTTCAAGTCCCTTTCAGACCACCTTTGGACAAATTAGACAAGTCGCGCCAGCTGCCTATCAGCTCATAGTGCTTGGTCGACACTGCGCTGCCTTGAGGATCAGAATGAATCAATCTTTCTCTGAGCAGGTATCACACAGCACAGATAGGTCAGTGATTGCTGGAGGCTTAGTAATCATGACCACCATGCAATCATGCTTGCAGGTGGTTCAACAACTGGTTGGCCGTTTCCCACGATCGGGCACGATGTGCGAGTGTCTTTAGCACTGCAGGGGAAACGAGTCACACAAACCATAACAGTTGGAAGGAATGACCAGCTGGCAGAAACAACAAGAGGGTCCTCAAGAAGACCTGGCTCGTCTCGTAAATCAGGTCGACAAGGCAACTGCGGACACGGCTCTGGAAAACGCTTCCACCTTGGCCCAGCATGGGCGACATACGCACGTCGTCAAGGCTTGTTTTCCGTGGCGCATGTGCACATCTGTTTCTCTTTTCCGCTCCAGGCCAATGCGCACAGCGGCCAATCGATGACCAGTGGCAACGTCCACCTACCGCTTTGCCTTCTTTTTCACGGATTCCACGTCCACCGGGGGAAGGTCCTCAAAAGCTTTTACACCGGCAGGCACGTTGCTTGCCTCGGCAGCACGCTTGGAGACTTTTTTCTGCGTCTCGCTGGAGCGCAAAGTCCTCAACATGGCGGACTCGTCGCTTACTGTCGATGCCAGTTTTCTCGCCACAAACTTGGTTGAATTCGCTTTGGGGCATGCCCACTTGGTGGATGATTCAGCACGCAGTTTCCATGGGGTACAGTCAATCTCATGGGCAGCCCCCGAACGTGCATGTGGCATTCCGAAGACGCTGTTCTTCAAGCCAAGGAGGTCCAGGGGGGCACTGCTTTCGCCCACCGCCTTTCTTCCCCTGTTCGCCAAGGCGCCTTGGGCTGCGCCGCCCTCCCTACATCGGTGGCTACTGTATTCATGAGGCACCTCCCGCATTTCACATTCCGCGCTACGCCCCTGCACGCCGCTGATCTGCATTGGCGGCCGCAGATCGGCAGTCTGAAAGTACTGGCGTGCCAACACAGATACCTCCTTGGACTGCGGAATCAAGGTCTGTCTTGCAGTGGGGCCCCACGGGGCTGTGGCGATTCCAGGCAATTTTTCGTCCCGGCCGTAATCACCGTCGCATAATTCGGAATGAGATGCTGACAACGGCTCTGACCGATCACCTCCCTCATCCTTTGTGTGCCTTCTGTCCCCATCCGCTGGAAAGCTCTGCCCAAACATGTCTCCTGGTGATATCGATTGCCGTGTTGCTGCGAACGGCATGTAATCCTCCGCTCCTGTACAATCAACAGCAGTTGCGGAATCCACAACCACGTCGTCGTCCGAGTGCGAAAAAAAGCCTGGCCGCTGGTGTTTAATAACTTGGGGTATAATTCCTGGCTTGCGCGGCCCGGAAGGCCTGGCAGGTGCACCATCGCTGCGGTGGCTGTGGGCGCGAAACACGGATGTCGCTTCCTCATCGGATCCCACTTGCAAGCCATCATGGCCGACATCGTCTCTGATGGCTACTGCGGGGCCAAGGGATTCTGAAACACGAGGCCCCGGAGTGCCCTGGACCTGAAATATGTCACAAGTCTCCATTGAGCAGCACGAGATCGGTAACACGAGTGCAGCGTGGCGACAGGCAGCAGCGAAATATTTCAGACCTCTTATAGCAGATTCTTACAGCGACACTCCAATGTGGGAGCATGTCCATTCTGTAAGAGCTTTGTTCACGCAATCCACGCAAGTATCGTGCGCCGTCATCACCTGAGATGCGCAAAGGCATTGTGTTGTGTGCGATATGTCGATATCGATATGCGCAAACATCGTCACCACACTTAACGAAGATGGCACCAAAACCATGAACAACATAGCAGGATTTTGCCAAAAAAATGTCGTCATACATTCTGGGATTAAAATGAAAAGGAGTCTTGCGTTCCGTGAGGAACAATGCAACATTCGTTGCATTTTGCTGGCGCTGGGTTGCTTGGCAGCAGGATGTTGCCAGTGCCACTTCAATCTCACCATTTCCATTTTCATGAAGCACTCATTTAGCAGTGTTGATACTCCAATGCAAGGTGTTTTCCGGTTGGTTTGTGACGTGGTGTGAAGTTACGCTATGCCTATAATAGTGCAGCAGTCCGTTATAGCGACGCTAGAAGAGACATAACCATCCTGGGATCGCCGACCTGTGCAGCACTCAAAAACAACATCGAGCACAGACACAGCACAGCATAGAGCAGCCAGTGACTGATATGCACTGGCCCCCCAGTGCAGCCAATTGTGCCCAAATAGTGTCTCAAACTCGTAGCGTTCGAGCCAGCTGTGCAGCAGAATTTGCGGGGACTTGGTTGCAGCAGCCCAATGGCCTGACGCCTCATATTCCCACCCGATGCTGAAGCGCCCTTCCAGGCGCGCTGAAAGTTGTCCAGCCCGTGGGCATGTGCAGTTCGCCCGTTGGTGCATGCGCAACTGGATGTGCGCGCGTTGTAGGCGCCATGTGCGCTGGAGGGGCCCGAGGCTCAGGTGCTTCGTCTCTTACCCCTTCTTCATTCGGGCCATCATTCGACTGGCACGTGGCAACCTGTCGAACAGCAGCACAAACACTGTTTCAGGCGAAGGCAAAGGCGGCATTGCCCTCTGTGAGGTGATGCGCATTTCTCCACCACGTGAGCCAGTTTATTTTGTGGAGACGCACCAGCGCGCGATTGCGGCGGTCGCCATATCAGTGTGTTTCATGAGAATAGGCAATTTGGCGACAGAGCTGCGGAGGTGGACCCATTGTTGGCATGCGGCCTGGGATACAGTCAGCAGGAGGGCCATCGTGGTCGACCTTGCCCAAAAAGCCCCAAGGGATGCGACTTGTCAGAATGTGGTGTATGCAGTGAACGATGCTTGTGGCCCTCATCAAATATCTGCACTGGACACATTGATGCTGACATCAAATGCCTGGCGCTGCCGTTTGACGGCATCCCCAACCGACACCACTACGATGTGTCCTTCCCGGCAGAAGCGGCCCTGACAGGCACATGGATAGCTGTATTGTGCCTTCACCGCAGATTGTCGAGCACAGACTTTACATGCGGCCATGGATGAGCCCGCACACTTGGACACCCAAGGCAGGTGAGTCGAAACAAAACTGAATGGTCTTGGCACCGGTCAGGTCTGCACATTACTCTGACGCGACGACGAGCAAGTACAAACACCGGGACTTTTTCAGCTGTCTTGCCTGCAAGCTATCACATGCAACGCCACTCCCATCCCAGCCCGTTTCCATTTCTCTGGCCCGCCCGTCGACCGCTTTTCCAGCGGTGCAGGACGCTCCCCAGCGACCACCAGAGCTACCGATCTCCAGGCGCTTCATGCGATCCTCCAGGCTGGACGTGAGCCTCAGCTGGCGAAGGGAGTGCACTTCGCCAGGCCTGCCGTTTGCACAAGGTGGGCCCCGGGGCCCCTGCCTCGACCGCCCGTGCACAGCTGGCATTTCTTTCTGTATGATGGAGGGATATCCGTGCGCAGGAATAAAGAGGAGGCTGGCCGACGGTTTTGCAGGCGGTGGACAGCAGGGGGGTAGAGACTCGCCACTTTGGGGTCTCCATTTTCGGAACAGAGACAGCGCCGGGCGGCTGGGCGCTGTCCAGGCATCCATGGTGGAGCCGTCGTGCGTGTCCAGCAATGACACTATGCTCATGTCGTCCGCCTCAACAACTGCTGGCACAGATCGGCAGGCTGCAATGTTGAACTGTTCAATTGCATGCGAAATGTTGCATGACTGTTGGCAACATGGCAGGATGGAACTTGGCGCAGGCAGCAGCGCATGCAACCCACAGTGGAGAGGAGCCTGTGCCAAGCCAGGAACAAATCGTGTAAAACTCAAGCCAGCACAGATGCAACCGACCTTGGAGACAGTACAGTTCATCGGTGCAGAATTTCTATGAACAGGACACTGGCGAGAGATGCAGGTCCTCTAAATCGACTTTGATCCTGCTTGTTGTTGAGCGAAAACCACTGCCCTTGTACCTGGAAGGCGACAACATCGGGCAAATCATGTCCAGCACTACCGCCTCAGTTCCAGGCTTTGCACCATATGGAAAGAATGGCAGCCGCTGATGCAATATTGGGGCCGCAGTGCGATTGACGCAATGCTCAGCTGCGCTTCATCAACGCCCATGTGTCAAGGTTGACAAATGCCGATGCTTGTGCCGGCGTTGCGCCAATGCTGACACCCTGGAATTGCTTTAGCACCATGTGGTGTTGCATCAGTGATACCAAGCACTCGTCGTTGCATTAACGCTGACGCTTTTCAGGCGACTCACAGCCATATAGTTCAAGACTGACAACTGGCTGGATGCAACCAATAACATTGTCCTTCAATTTTGACACGCTAATCATCGCACATTTGTTGGAATCGGCAATGAGATCAACTGCAATGTGTGCGCCCTGTTTGGTGATTTCAGCTGTGTGGGTGCCCCACCTGTGATAGATGCGAGGAAGGATCCACAAGGGCTGAAAGTCAAGCCCACAGCTGGCCCTACCACACCCTCGCAAAGACTGAATTTCAGTGCCCAGTCAAAGTCATCCTTGGGGTTGGGGCTCCATACGTGAGTCACCCCATGCGCTGTGCCTGCGGCCAGCATGACAGGCGCCTTTCCTGCAGGGTCCAAACAATTGCAATCACACGACTGATGAACGAATTGCGGGCCACAATGCTGACTTCGAGTTTTGCAACTGGACGCACTGCTGCAAATTCCAATCCTTCCATTACACATTGCCTCTACAGCCCCACAGATCTGACAGCACGCAGCGTGCTTCGAGCGATTCCCCTTAGGCATGCATCTTGCTGCCTGAACATTGCTCGTCCTGAAGATCCCAGCAAGCAGTTGGTCACCAGTGGTAGAGCGCAGAAGTTCCAAAAAGATGAAAATAACAATCGCAAAGGCTGTGCTCACGACACTGAGCCGCTGAGAACAACGCTAGATTGATCAGCATCTGAATGTTCAACAGCATTTGCGCGTCACCAAATGCTGGAAGGGATGAATGTTTGGATTTTTTTCCTTCTAAGTCAGTGCCGCTGTCCGGCGAATGCATTTGAGTGAATGCACGCGCATGCAACAGAGCACAGCACATGCACTATGCAAGCGATGATGGGCAATGTGCAATAATCGCTGCGTGCAGTGTGACGAAGCTGAGGTGCATTCAAATTAATGCTGCACCAATATTTACAGCCCAGGGGCAATGTTGGAAGAGCATCACTATGCCTTTTGAACTAGCTGCAAACAAACACTAAATAGTTACATTTGCACGTGCCACACCCGGCCACTTTCAGAAGCTTGGCATTGGTGCCAAAAGCCCCTGCCTGAAAATGCAATAAACAGGATGGGGCAATGAAAAGGTGGCCATCAGTCTCCAGTCGGGCCTTACCAGCACTGGTTTCTGTGACCATCCATGGTGGCTGTGGAGGCGTTCCAATGAGACCGACATCAAGTTGGTCTGTGGATGCACGAGCAGGGGACCATTGTGAAAGCAGTTCTTGAGGGACGAATCCGGCAATGCTGGTGATAGCCATTGGGCTCACAGCTAGCCTCTGGCTAGGAACCAATCGATTGGCAGAAACATCCCATAGGGACACCACCCCGTCGCTGGATCCGCAAGCCACCTGGCAAGGACAGCAGAGGCGCCTAATTAGTGCTGGAAGCAAAATATTCAAAGTAGGACAGCAGATTAGTTGAGGGGGGCAGCATGTGTACACACACCTTCAACCCCAAGGCACCATGCTGATTGTTTTGCTTGCAGCTGTCAGGAAGATTTGCTACCAGGGTTGACTTTAAAGGCCAAGCAGATGTGGCATAAACTTGCAGAGGATGCTGCTGGTCTGCTTTCTTGCGCTGCCATTTGTGCCCTGCGCAAAGAGGCAGAGCAATGACGAATGTGGACAGGCCAGATGTCTGGCTCAGTCGATGTTCATCCCACCCTCAAGGAACGCCATTTTCGTCTTGTCCAGGCAATTTCAAATAAAGCGAAATCGGCAGCTCGACTGCCATGCCCAATAAATTGCTTATGATCATTGCAACAGCAATGAAGTACCTGTAAACTGCAGATGCAGTTGGAACTTGAAACAAACAAGCGATTGAGATATGGTGTGGTTATTGACATGCCAAGGCCCACCCGGAGTCCCAACCCTGTTTCTGACAGATTCCATTCAGTTCATCCTTAGGACTTCACACCGGCTGTGCTGTTTGATACAGTGGCTCAAGATCTGAATGCGACAGTGGGGCGACACATGGACCTGTACATGTGATGCACCACCAACTAGTGTGCAAATGTTCAAATGCAATTCAACAAACCTAATTAAAAGAATCAGCAGGTTGCATAGCAGCAAGACCTAGCCTGAGCATTGCTGCTTGTCAGCGGGCTGTGCTGCTCCTGGAGCAAACCATACCATGACAGGGCCAAGGAATGCCAATGCAGTGGGAACGGCAGTCATGGCATTCCTCACATGGTCCAGCAAGGCCCCTCCAGATGTCTCTGTCATCTTCAAGGTCCCATCAGAAGAAGCTGACACCAGGGTGGTGCGTGCAGCATTCGTTCGGAAGCACGTGATGGGGGCTGCCGGAAAAAGTGCATGTGAATCAATGCAGCACCGTGCACTGTGTGAGTTGTGCATCTTAGCCAGCATTCACCATCAGTGTGGCTGCTCCACAGCAGCAATGGCCACAAATCATGCAATCAACTTTATGTGTGTAGAAGACTTGAGCAACTGGACTTGTAGCCCGCCATAGAGCATAGATGCAGCCTGGATTCCTGGACACATTTGCACATGGTGCAAAGAGAGGAAGAAGAATTCCACACACTCTTGTACTGTGTGCATTAAAACACTACAACAGGGTCCCTTGTGGTAATGATGTCACAACCCTTGCAAATGTTGCACAGGTAAGTCGATAAATGCAGCGGACAACAAAAACAAAGACTCTTTGGTTGTGCTCATTCAGTGCGATTACCAGCCCAAGAAATGTGCTCATACAGAATGCCACTGAGGGATACAATGGTATGCAACTCGTTGTACACAAGCATATGTGTAGTGGGACATTTACATTTGCAAGGAGACTCAATTTCTGCCAATTCCCACAGCATACCTCACAAGACGTGGCAAATGCTTGCCTAGCATCAACAGCAGAATGCACACATTATGCGGCCAAATTCAGGTCCTTGCAACAGCCCATGCCCCAAATTTCATGACTGGGGCAGTCAGGATGCTTGTCACACAAGTCCTCCGAACAGCAGCACTCATTGACATCACAGAGAGAGGAGGCTCCCAGCACAACATCATCACAGTGAACACCAGCTTTTGCACAATTACTTCACACTTCAGCACATCTTCGCTGCAGCTGCATGCAGACTCTTACCGCTGTGAAAGGCAAACTGGAAGACCTGACTCGTCTTCTGACCCTCGTCCATGGGCAATCTGCAGAACATGATCCGTTCCCCCAGCTGCTGGGAGAAAACCACTTCCCATGGCCCCCGCAAGAATTCGAAGCAGAGCACAGCCCGATTCACAGGCAAGGGTGAGCCGCCAGCCTCACAATACTGAAGCTCAAACGACCAGGCTGGGACAAGCTCACATCCATCAGAGGAGATGGCCGACAGGTGAAAGTGTCCAAAGGTGTCAGCCAGGCCCAGGCGATCCCCAGCGCCAGGGACCAACCTGTGTAGTCAGGTAGGGGTCAGCAGCTTCTCACAGTATTCAATGCGACTGCAATACGTTTGCACTGTTGCTCACTTCAGACAGTGGCTTAGAAGCCCCGCGAGCAGCAAAATGCACAAACAAATGTAAACTCTAAAAGTACAGCGGAACCCTGGAATGAAGATGCCTAGGGGTGGGGACATTGAGGTTACCTTGCATGCAAATAGATGTCTATTCAGGAATGGTAAGGATTTAGGACAAGGCAAGATTGCCATGCAGCAGATTGCAGCAGTTGCTGACTGGTTACAAATAAGTTGAGTAACTTTGGAAAAAGGGAAGACCAAAATCCAGGAAGTAAAAGCTTGCGTGTTGAGAATGACAGTGGCAGGCAACTGGGCTGTTGTAGAAGCCATCGCTCGCCAAAGCATACCAAAGGCACACCATTCTCAAAACAATACTGCACTCCAGGAAGCAACAGACTGTCTGCGACTGCCATTGGTGCTAGTGCATGCAAACAGCCCCTCCCTCCAAATGGTTCAGCCACCAATCTATGGAGGCTTGGTCATCGCCACCAGAGTGTGGTCTCTTGTTCTTGCAAAAATGTGTGCTTGCACTGGTTTCAACACAATTGATGTGGCCTATTCCCAGTTCATAATTTGTACATACGCATCCTGTGGGCATGGAATATGGACAAACCATGTCTACATAAGGATAAGTTCCTTGTGTCCCCAGAGCAATAGACATTCACAACAGGATGCACAGGTGTCATGTCTGGATGTTGCAGCAGTCCTCAGCTCATTTGGCTGTTGTTATCTCTGTAACGCACATGGACATATGCATTTGCCAACTGCCACATTTGACAATGGTGACAAACAGCACCTGTTGGTTGCCTGCATTGTAGGCCTAAACACACAGCAAACTTGGAGGTTGCGGAGATTTGTGCACAAGGCTTTGTAGGGCCAAAGTACAGAAAATTGTGTTTGCACAGAGAGCGGATCGGCTTAACTCCAATGCCAAACGGATTGAAGAGGAGGCGATAGCACTGGAGCCAAATTGCATATACTGCACTGGGTTGCATTCAGTCAGACCTTCACACAAAAGTTCCCATGAGGGTGCAGGTAATGTACTTATTTTGTGCTGGCAATGTTCAGCCAATCTTGTGTGCAAACCTTGTCAGTGCACCAGTCAATACAACAAGTATCCCCTCAGTCAATGTAGATTCACAGAATGCCAAAATTTCACAAGACAGTGGCCATTTGCCAAGGCTTTGAAGGCCAAATCTTTGTTCCAAATTAAATTTTGACTAATTGTGTTCATGCTTGAGGGATACATACATGCATAACATATACAACGGGTGGCCAACAGAACAGCCTAGGAAGAGAATCCTTAACATCAGGTCTGGAATGGGACAAATCAATGCCTCCGGTCAACTTGCATCTTGTCAGTTAAATGGTTCTATCCGCCTCACGCAGACTTGCAAGCTTTGGTTACAAGCTGCATTCCAGCGTTGTTCTGACGACTAAAGGTGCTGACGTCCTCACATGCACATGGATCAGTGTTTTTGATCAAGGGGTGGGTACATGCAGCCACACTGCGCGAGATCTGTTGCCTGTGACTATGCATATGCAATGCGTTGAAGGCCCGAATGGGCACCCAATGCCGCGCGTCCAACGGCCGTGCAGCTCACCGCGCGGAGACCCACGTCCGGGGTAAGTGCGGTGCGGTGGGCGTGGGGCGGCTGGGGCCCACGCGAACAATCACCAGCTTCGGAACTTGGGGCTCACCCTCGCCGTTCATGGCGCAGCGCAGTTCCCTGGCGCCGAGGGTGTTGGGCGGGCTGGCCACCCCTCGTCCCTGCGAATTTCTGTCCGGGTGCGTCGATTTTGTGCTGCCTTCCCGGTTCCGGACATTTAGGACCTGAAACCGGACTTCGTGTCAGCACTTACCGCAATGTAGCACCCGCGTTCTCTGCAGCACGCCTGTCGTTGTCTGCAGGTGCCCTCGCACTAGGGAACTTCGCTGCAAGTGTTCTGTTCATTTTACCCCCGATACCGATCCCGTACCAAACCGGAAATTGAGAAGCCTTGCCTTGCAAAAAAGCGCCCACCTGCTAAAACTGCAGGCAACGACGGGCTCGCTGCAAGCGCAAATCCGCAACTGGACTGCCTTCAAAATCGCATCCTGTCCCGATGACGCTGTTGCGATCAAAGCGATGTTCAGCTGCTCACAGCGATCACGATGACAGCTTCCAGGGGCGGAAGCTGAAGACAGCCAGTGTCGCCATCTCTTGTGCGGCACAGCCAATTGCCCCAGGGCTTGGGAGTAAACTGGCAGATAACGTCGACAATGACAGCCACGATGGCGCATTGGTCCTGGCAACGCCTCCTGCGCGGTTTGCGATCTTCATATAGGACCAGCCTGAGGATTGTGACCAAAGCAGGGGTTTGGTCGATGAACTCACGTCCTGATCAAAGGTTGAAGCACTTCCCAGTGCAGAGAACATCACCAGCAATTATGCTCAGTCAGGTGCAAACAAGTGCCCACCTTCGCTGAAAAGCGAGTGGAGACTGCTTGCCAATGAAAGCCTGGCGAGTGAGACTGAATCGGTCCTCGGTGCTGAAATGTCTCGCGGTGGGGCAAATTGTGGGCTCAGGCAGCCAGTGAGAGTTTTGCATTTGCATCTGGCTGTGGCTGGATGTTCGACATGCACCTTTTGGCATTGCAGGGTGGCTCACAGGAGTATCGGCGGCAGCGATCACTGAGCGCTGAGCTCTGTTCACTGACTTCCCATCGACAGGAGGGTTCAGATGTTGGAAGATTTTCCTCTTCTCTCAACAATGACTGATTTCTTCGGCATGGACGGACGTCAGCATGCCCCACTTACAGAGCAAATACAAAACAGCACAAGCTGAGCGCCCACTTTGGCACCACCACACATGCGACCGCATTTTCGGTTTCTATCCTCGAGTCTCCACATCCATCTCTTGTGTCTTTTCTTTCTGCACTCCTACATGCATCCTCACTTGGGCAGGGGCCATGCTGGGCCCACTTCTTTTGCCCCTCGCACCCCAACAGTCCAACCCCCCTTTTCCAACAACGCGGAGCCTGTCATCAATCAGCCTGTGGCTTCGCACGGACTGGCTGGATGCAAACCCTCTTTCAAAGGTTGGCCTGGGATCGCCCAGCAACGCGTCAACATTCATGCCGAAAGGCACGAGCCCCACCTGTGCGGCCTGGCGCATGCGGCCGCCCCACAAACCGCGCCTGCAACGTGCACTAAGCGACCTAATGACGGGAATTCAAATTATCCCAGTCGTCTCCAACCGCCTGTCTACAACAGCCGACCAAACGCAAAGCTACCCGGTCACACAAGGAACCATTCCCACGTCAGCTGGGCGCCTGCTCGTCCAATGCGTCGCCCGTGCTCAGCCCACGCGCCGCTGGCAGCCCCCTCAGGTAACCGTTCGGCCGTAGGCCACACCAGCGATGTACAGATTCTTCTGCCACTTCTCCTTGACGTGCACGCTTGGGAACGACGACGTGCGC